TAAAATAGATTATTGCGAGATTTTCATAGCAAATCATGAATCTATTATGTACGCTTTTAGCAATGTTTTAACATTACTTTTTAAAGCTCTAATCTGAATTTTTATAAAATTTATATGAAAAAATTGATTATTATAATAAACAATGTGAAAAGAATAATATTCATGATACAAAGATTTTAGCACCAATTTAAGCTTATTATTATTTATAAATACGCTTGAGAAAGTGTTTCAACAACAGTATATATCTGATCGAAATGAGGACGTTTTTCAGGTTCATATTCCCAACATCGTAACATTAAACGGTATATTTCGTCAGGTGTAGTTTCTGGTGCTGGCATTCGATAACCTAGAGGTAAGAAATCTTTATTTAAATTCTCTATAAATTTTCTATTCTACTCTATTTAGTTTTAGATATTAATATAATACAATAAAATCTCATATAATGCAAATTTTTATAATGCGTTAAAAATATTGCGACTATTGTTTTCATTATACAATTCGATAATATTTCATATATATACATATTTTTTAATCAATAACTCATATATGTTATTATTTTTTAAAAAATTGTTTTGTTTGATGAAACATAGAACATAAAATATGACATGATAATAATTATTATACGAAAAAATTCTCGTTCAGCATTTGTTATAATGTGAATTCATACAATACATTATATATATAATCGCATTACATAGGTGATCTATTGTAATAATAATATTATTGTAATAAATATTGTATATTGCAATTTAAATATTACCTGCATCTATCTTTTCGCGAGCTTGAGAATTAGACATTCCACTGTAAGGATTTCCACCTTTAGAAAATATCTCCCACATTAAGATTCCATAACTCCATACATCACAAAGTGATGTATACTTGCCTATTGAAAATATTACAATAAAAAATAATATTAAAATTCTTAATATCTATATAATATATATCATTTTCTTAAATACCGAAATTTAATGCTTCTGGTGCAGTCCATTTAATTGGAATTTGTTTCATACCATCTGAAACTATATATTCTTCTTCTTCTCGTGACATTCCAAAATCTGATATTTTTACTATAGATTCATATCCTAAAAAATATAATATTATTTTTAGTATTCTAATTCATATATTTTGTAAATTATTTTTATAATAATTAAAAATCAAAATGTTCTTACCTACGAGACAGTTCCGAGCAGCTAAGTCTCTATGAATACAATATTTAGATTCCAAATAGCGCATACCTGCAGCTGCATCTTTACACATTCGAAGCTGTTCTTGTTGTGTAATAGTATTAGTATTTTTTCTTAAGTAAGTTAACAATGAACCGCCTATCATATATTAATTTAGCATTAATAAACAATTATATTCTATAATTTGAAAAGTTTTTAATTCCAAAATTTAAAATTAAAATCTTTTATTAAATTTATTAATTTACTCAACATACCGGGAACTAATTCCATAACAATCATAATAGGTTGTTTTTGGACACAAATTCCAATAAGCTTTACTATATTTGGATGATCATATTGTTTCAATATGCGTCCTTCTTGCAAAAATTTACGTTTTTGTTCATCCGGTAGCGTTACTTTACAAGTTTTTACAGCCACCTCAGTCTTACAGGTTTTTAATTGAGCTTTATATACATCTCCGAAGTTACCCTAAAAATATATAATATTTTATGAATATCTAATTTTATACAATTTATGTGAATTTTTTGAATTGACATTTTTTAATATTTTAGAAAAATCTAAAATATTATAGTTTATTAAAGTAAGTTAAATTTATATAATTATATAATTTGTGTAACAATAAGATATATAATATATAACAATAAGATACTTTGAAATGTAAAAAACTAAAATAATTTCTTTTTTCTTTAAATTTTAATACCCGTCCTATTTTTTCTAGAAGAATTACATCATCGTTATTAAGTTCCCAACGTTCACGTAAAATTGGTGTTTTGAGGATAGCTCCAGATCGACTGGTAACTGGTAATCCGGATAACCATTGATGTCTGATTAACTCTTGAATTGATGGAAATGTAGGGCCTTCAAATCTGTAATGTCCCTAAAATTAATAAAAATACATACAAATACATTTGTTTCTGTATCCTCTATATATAAACATATAGTATCAAATTAAATAATTGCTTACTTCAGGAGTAGTTTGCACTATAAAATGTTTGTGTCCATCCCAACAGACAGATAAAACTATTTGGCATTCATCATTTCTTGTTGTTTCGCGTACTAAAAAATCTCCTTCAGTGACGAGTAATCTAACAACTTCTTCTCTTGGTAGCACACCATGAAACCATTCTTCTTCCATAAGACCTCCATTTCCATTTCCCTTCTGATTAGTTGTTAAATGTGAAATCCGAAAAGATGCCTATAACAATAATATGTAATACTGTATTTAATAAACAAAAATTCATCACACTTAATTATCACACCTAGTACAAAATTTCTCTTTCTACCTATCATTACCTGTAATTATTATCGCTAATTGCATCACAAATGTTAGTTTTAAAAACAATCAAATGTAATTTATAAACAGGATAAACATGCTTAAAATATTAAAAACCAAAAATAAAATTGTTATCAATTCAATTGTAAACTTTTTATGACACACATTCTTTCATAAGCATTTAATATATATGATAAGAAAGAAGTAATTATGCATGAAACATATTTATATCTTTACAATAAACGGGTATATAAAGAAAACATACAACTGGTAGAGTATTATCTGCTTTTGGAGTAGGACCTTCGCTACTCGATCTAATTGTTCCATCTTTTGTATCGTTTATTATTGGTAAAGATTTGAAGGGAGATCTAAATATTGTCATGAATCGTTGATTTCTTCGTAATGTAAACAGACCAATATCTGCAACTGTATTTTTCTGCAAGGGCAGTGATGCTAACTAATATCAATTATAGTATCAATCAAATAAAATTGCTTTATATCGAAAAACTATTTGTAATACAATAATTTTTTTTAACAAGGTAATTATAAAATATTTAAATAATATATAAAAATATTCGATTTATATATAATTTTAATCTATTACCTTACTAATAGAAGGCGAATCAGCAAAAGAACTTTCCATTGAGAGATCATAACCAAGTGGTAATTCTTCACAACCTAATTCATTCAAAGCAGCTCTAATAACATCCACTTGTCGTTGAAGTTTTTTTTCTTGACAACGTAAACGTAACTCTTCTCTTTCGCGGGAATAATCCAAAATCGATATCCTAATGAATAAAAAAATAACAAAAAAATAAAAATATAAATAATAAGAATAAAAAATATATATATACTTTAATATTATCAATATTAATGAAAATATATTAATAATTTATTCTTAAATAAAATATTCTTACTTAGAATCGCTATTATTTTCCGATGGATATTGTGGGTTTTGTCGGCTTTGTTGAGTCGCTTTTAATGAGTTTTCTAGTTCTGTTAATCGATTTCTTAACCAATCTATAGTTAAATTATCTACTGTTAATTTATTTGGTAATAATTTTCCCGATGTATCATCCACGAGATTCTCATCAAAAATAAATCTTATTGGAGATGCAGGTCGCGTTCTATAACAAATGTTAACAAATTTTAATATTTTGAAAAATTACATTGATAAAAGCAAATATGAAATGAATACCTGTGTTTTCCTATAAAATCCCTATATTCTTCTACAGGTTTTACACAATCCACAGCTTTTTGCATTCGCCGATGTATTTCTTGAAATTTATCTGTTGTAAAATCAGAATATTTCACTATATCCTGAAGTATGGTTTTCCTATCATGTAAAGAACAATGTTTTTATATTTGTGATATAATGGATATTATTATTATAACAATCATTAATGTTTACCTTTTCTATTACCATATGTTTGCATGAAAGTTTCATGTAAAATAAATAAGTATTTCATAGAATACAACAAAGAAATACATAATAATTTTTTTCAGAATTTAGAATCAACAAAATGCTTACCATGATGTTATAAATTCTTGATGAATTGCCTGTTGTCGATGAAGTAAGCTTGGTAAGTAACAAGTTCTTAAGTCATGCTCACACTCAGTTACAGCACCCAAAAGTAGTACATATTCATTGTGGGTAAGATGAAGTTTTCTACAAGCTTTTTGATATTTTTCTCTTACTTCATCCAATTTTCTACCAACTCTACCCGCTAAACATATATTATAAATAATAAAAATTAATTGTAAATTAATTATAAGATATAAATACTTACATTTAACATAATGTTCTTCAAAACGGGATCTCATTAATTTATACATTTCTAGATTTTTCTGATACTCTAATTTTTTCCTAGCAACATCATCAGTTAACTACAAGATATAATAAATATGTAATATAAAATTTAACTCATTTTACTATTTACTATTTATTACTTTTTAGTATTTATTTATACCTGTTGAAATTGATTGTTTAACCATGTTTGTTCTTCTTGATATATTTTTCTAGCTCGTCTTCTTTCAGAATGTAATGTTGTAATATGTTCTACTACTATAGCTTCAATAGAATCTGCTTGTTGTTTGATTAATTTTGCTGTTTGATCAATAGAGTCCATGATATCCTTCCAACTCTACAATATAGTACTATGTAAGCAAATGTTTCTGAGAAATTATTATAAATATTTAAGAAAAATTATAAACATTCATTTCAATTTTGAACACATACTTGTGCTATTAGACTACCAACAAGATCTTCATTACGTTCAATCTTTTTCCCTTGCATCGTCAAAGAGCAGATCGTTGAAGCATATTCGCGATCTGATTTAACTTTAATCGTTAAACATCGTCTCATTGTTTCCAGAAGTTTAATTTCAGCATCTTGACGGGCGAGTAACGCCTCATGTGATGACTGTCCTTGTAAACTCGTAGAAAAACCCATCCCGCTTATCGTATATAAAACTAAAAATCGCCGTCTTACCGACTTCTTTAGACGTGTCACGAACAAAAATTCATTCTTATACTAGACAAATGTAGTGACATTAATGTTAGCAAAGAATCTAATGAACCTCAATGAATCATTCATCGAAATATTACATTGCAAACACAGATTTATGTATACATTATTTAATCAGATTATTATATATCTCTACTACAACTCACTTGGCTGAGATCAACACTTATATTTATACAGACCTCAAAGTGCAAAAATTTACTTTTATTCCAGAAATACCGTCATGAAACAACAAATAAAATAGATGATCAATTTAACTTTGATAAAAATAGAAACCAATGTATAAAATCTTAATAATATATTAAAGATATGAACTAATAATTTATTTTCTCTTTTTTGAAATTATATTATGAAAAAAATTTATTTTATTTTTTTTATTTCAATATGCAATTTTATTAATTAAAATTTTTTTTTTAAATTATTAATATTGTAATTTTCTAATAAATATCACACTGTAAATCTATAAAGTTTAATATCAATGCTTAAAATACTTAAGGGTTCATTTTTATGAAAATTTCATTCGATATTTAAGTAAGTATCTTATTATTATATAGTCAATTGCATATGAATATTTGTAAGATAAAGATCGTTCGCTGCAGTTTATTTTAATATTAATACGTAGCAAAATGTTAGGTGGTAAAATGCAAGGTCTTACAAAAGAATCTCTGAAAAAGAATTCTATGGTATGTGAAAAAATAGTTTTAAAAGTCATATGCTAAAATTATTATTGATTTTTCTTTAGTTATTGCCACTATTTTTCTGCATCGGATTTGGAGCATTTGCTGCCACAGGTTATTTATTACGCCTTGCACTCCGAAGTCCTGATGTTACGTGGAATACTAGAACCAATCCTGAACCATGGAATGAATATAAAGACAAAGATTATAAGGTATGTTGAACATATAACGAGAATGATAAAAATAATATGATTAAAAAATAATTTCAATTTTAACATCAAACAAAGTAATAAAATTGACTAACAAAAATTTTAAATAATTAATTATCTAAAATTTATATAATTATCTGATTTTTTTCATTTTTATTTTCAGTTTATTAACATTCGTGATACAACTAAGTATAGAGCAACACCTCCACAATATTAAATATTAAAAGCATATATTAAGGTAGTCTTAAAGAAAATAATTAAGAAATGTAGAAATCAAATTAATTTATACTTTATATTATTTTAAATTAGATTAATTTATTGTTAATGTCATTAAAATATTTTACAAAACTTGTATTGTAAAAAATTAAATAATATTTAAGAAATAAAAATTTAAATATCAATAAAGTTTATGTTCTTTATTTTATAATTTATATAGAAATTATATAGAATTTATCATAAAAATAAATTAATATATAT